TTTGCTTTCAATATATATACACAGATAAAAATAAAAAATGATATACAGATTTAGTTTTTATATCTGTATTCTATATATAACCAAAGGTTATTTTTCAAAAATCAAATTTAAAGAATAGTTTCTATGGGAGCAAACTAACAGCTGTCTCATCGACTCCAAGTCCAAGTCAAAAGTAAAGTTTTTTTGTGTTTTCTATCCACATGCAAAGTCCTTCCTTCCTCTTTGTTAACCCTTTGCATGAATTCATGCCAAGTCCACAGAGTATGTTCTACCAGTGGTCCTTTTGAGGAAAGAATTGTAACCCTATAGGTGACCTGGTGTGACCTATTTACACACTGCTTCTTTGTAAAGTGTCGGTTACAATTTCGGTGGGTACGAACATTTTGTTTTTAATATAAAGAAAATTACTGTTATAATCAATGTAAACAGTAAATTAGAATTCATGAAATACAATTAAAACATGAAATACATTATCTAGTACTTCATGTTTTAATTAATCATCATTTTCTATAGAGTACTTACTCTATAGAAAAATATATTTATGATCATTAAATACATTTTATTAATGAAATAAATACTATTATTCTATTAAAATACCTACCTGTTCACAGTAAGATAATTTTGGAGCTGCTCCTTTTAAATCTAAGTGAATTAATCTATAAAATAAAAAAATATATAAACACTAATTCATTCAAATAAATTACTATACATATACCAAAATAACTCCAAATTTAGTAATTGGTTTAGCTGTAAAAGTCCTAATTTGCTGTATCCAATTATGCAAACGATACAGATCTGAACCCAGATTCATGAACATCTCGTAAGATACAACATAGTATCTCTCCAATATTGTAAAGTTATTAGAAACTAACAATGGTTTATACTTCATATTCACAAAACAAATCACAGCACTTATGATAAAACAGGAATTGGTAATGAGAGTGTGTCTTATGATATCACTAGCAACCACCTCTGTTTTAATAGAGTTAATAGGAAAACATTTCTTTTCGAATTTCCTCACTGCACGTGGTATTTAACCTGTGGTCTAAGCAAAGGTAGCATTTTATTTCAAATCAGAAAAGTTTACAAGAAATAATAAGAAAAACACGTTAGAATTGATTATCTATCAATAGAACCAAATACTCAACCACTTAGACCTAGACTTACGAGAGCTCTTCGATATCGTAGTAGTTACGAGACTTTTTACAATATTGTAGCTTACAATGTGCATTGCAAATACAAGACTTTTTGCATCTGGCAACTTACAATGAATGTCCTCATAAGTTACGATACGAGGTGTTTGTGAATCTAGCTCCTGGTTCATGTAATTAGTGACTTACAAGTTACACCGAGGCAACTAATAACAAAATAATTAATTACCATATTACTTGCATATAAGATGAGGTTTTTATTCATTCAATTATTTCATTGCTTCAAAAACCTAGGTCGTCCTATATGCACGAACAAAGGATTCTTTGTGTTTTTGCAATAATTTCTGTGAACCGTGTATACTTCATGCTGACATTATAGGTCTACAGTCTATTTATCATAAGTTGGCACCTACTGTAAACAAATTAAGACACACACCCCTTTGTTTATTGGTTTAATCCTACATCCATCAATTAAAAACTGTGTTGCATCTCATTCGTTCGCAGAAAATAGTTTCTCGTTATTTATAAAAACATTAATGAAATACAAATCACTTAGCAATGATTATAAATGTAGTTATTTTATATTAGTTAAACTGTTATTTTTAATGAATATTAGCACATTCTGAATCATTAAAAATAAACTTTTTCCAGTCACACTCACTATAATGTTTTGGTTTTGTTTTCCATTCATCACGTATTAAGGTAAACAATCATGTTTGCCTTAATACATGCATTTGATAATATTTTGTGATTAAACGAATTAAAATTAGAATTGTATTAATAAATCTAATTTTCTTTATTTTGATCTCTTAAGTCACACCTCGTCCTATACGCGAGATCGTCTTATACCCAGTAAATACAGTAAATAATAAATTATTTAAGTACAATTTATTCAATTGCTATTTTTAAATTAACCAAACAAGAATTTGTATTAAATTTCAGCATGTTTATAGGTTTCAAAGTAACGTAATGATAAGTAATGATGTTGTCATTGTAACCAGTTTGTTTGAACTAAAGGTATCATTCACCACTACCAATTAGTTGGGCAGTCACTATCTAGCCCACCTGGAAGATTGGCATGTCTGGTAGCAAGCAGTAAATCACCAGAAACTTTATATGTAACATTTTTGAATCATGCCCAATCTTGGCAGTTCAACAAGCTTGCGACCCTTTCAATGGCTCTGGCGGGACACAAAAGGAGTTGCCAAATATTGTGTTTGGGACATTTTTATTGCTGATTTTTTTATATGACAGCTAAATAGCTGCTAATGAAAGGTCGGTGTGGTCAGAGGTTTGTAATTGTCAAAATTTTTTAAACAATCTGTTTGGGTGTAGACGGGTTTTTATAGTTTTGCAGATGCGTAGTTTTTCCATCAAGTGCCACAATTATTCATCGATACTTTATGAGGGCGGTACTATTTAGAAAGATAGTACATCAAGGTTTGACTGTATACAGAATGCAAACTTTGTATTTTCAAACAGACTTATAATACTAATCTTGCATTTTTTATATTAATTTCAATAATTTAAAACAAATTACTTACTTAGCAAAATTTGGAGAGGCGAGATCGATCGAACACATTCTGATCTTAATAAAAATGTCCAATCAGCCCTGTAAAGAATTAATGAAATTTTAGTTTAAATTTTAATTTATTTTATTTATCTGATCTAAAATACAGGTATGTGCCTCTTAATGATGGGATACGCTTGGTGAAATATGTCATTAAGTCCCTCTGTTAATCAAACTTACACGGTACAGTCTATTACTGAAATATTCATCACGTGTACAGTTTACATATGTATCTGAATGTAGAAAAGATATGGGTGATTACCAATTTTTCGTCTCCATTATAATCTTATGGGACCTCTGCCAAATACGTGGTCTATCATTAAGAGGTGCATCTGTAAACACTTGAATTTAATCATTTAAATGTTTTTATATTTACTGAAGTATAAATTTCTAAAATTCAATTGCATTAAGTTTTCAGAGTTAGAAAGATAAAAATTGAGGCTAGATATTATTTATTTATATATAAATTAAAATTGCAGCTGGTGTTGTGACCACATCACAATAAGTAATCTTGATTTTTAAAGATAAAAGCAAATTTTCACACTAATCAGATGGATATGCTTGTTTACTTTTACTTCTACAAAAATGAATTAAATCTTTGCTGAATATTTAATACTGCAGGATGTGGGTATTTTCGATATTTTGATTTTGTAATCGTTGATGCGCTGAAAAAGCCATTTGGTTTGTGTATTAAGGGGTCAATGCTATTAAATTTTTCTGGTTAAAGGTCAAGGGGGTGGGAAAATAAAGGGGATCATGTCCCCCATCTCGAGTGGAGTCAGACTTAATATTTTACTTGTTATTAGCATTTACAATTTTTTATAAAACCCTCAAAGCTAACTTTTTGCCACTTTTATAATAAGTAATAATATGGTATTAAAAAACTTTTTATAACAGATGGTGCCACCGCAATTTTAAATCTGTTTGCCAGGCAAGTTATGCAACTGGTTACTAGAGTTCTTTAACAGCAGTGACTCTAAGAAATAAACATAGAAAAAAATTCATACTTTGCCAGTTTAGTCATCCTTCTGTGTTACAGCCTTGGACAGGCTATATTTGTAGGCAGGAAAAGCTTACCCTTTAGAGCAGCAGTCGGCAAACTTTCTGACCTCACGGACCACTAAAGTCACAATTTTGAATCCCGCGCACCACTATCATGAATTTTTTTAAATGATACAAAATCTGTAGAATAAATATCTTAAGTTCAATTTTACTATATTAACATGAAATTTGCATGTTTAATTATAAAAAATTAACGCAAGCCTAAAGTTCATTGCTGCTTGTTTGAAACAAGTTTATGGATTCTTAGCGCTTTTCCACGAAGGACAACGATTGCACTCACAATATTGTTTATTGTTCATTATTTATTGATAACAGTCATGTCGTTTTTGGTTTTAGATTTGAATAAAAAATCCCAATGAGTGAAAAAAGCAACTAAGCATTTTGCATTTCTTTCATAATACTTCACGTAACCTTTAGTTGATCAATGTTCAAATTTCTCCATGGACCACCCAAATTTTCTTGCGGACCATCAATGGTCCTGGACCACCGGTTGCTGACTGTTACTTTAGAGAAATAATCAAACCCAAAAGACTGATAACTTTTTAAATACTTGCCTAACACTAACAAAGGATCGCTATCAACCCAGATTGCAGCAAGTATGTATTCAATCTATCTATAAAATCAGAATGATTCAAGGGACAAATTGTTTGCATTTGTCAGAAATCAACAAGCAAAAGGATATTGAAAGAACTTTAGACCATAGCTACTATGGCCAAAACTAACACCTCATCTAAATGTAACTTCCAAACTGTGTGGATATACAGGGTGCAATAGTAAAGTCTTTCATACCCTCATAACTGACAAAGCTATAGTTTACCCTTGTAACTGACAAAGATACAATTACGAATGTGACATATAGTTATAGTAAAGTGACTATGTGCTTCAAGACAATGTTGCTTAAGGCATCTATATTGGTAAAATAGAGAAGTTAACACTCCAGTCTTGAAAACGATACATGATACGAGAAAAATGTCTATTACAGAGCATGTACTATTACATGGTTCTGTAACAGTCATTTAGTAAGAACTCATTTAGTAAAAAGACATCCTACATGCACAAATAACAAGAAAAGATTGCATAAAATGCTAATTTGCATTTCAAGCATACACGGTAAAATGCGTATTTCTCATTTTCCTATCTTTGTGCTGCATTCCTTACTGTGTGACTTATGCATCGCTCACAAGTCAGTGTGTAAGGACTTTACTATGCAATGCAGAACAATAGCTTAAAGTTGTTACTTTCTGACAAAAACATTCATACATTTTTTAGAAAGTTTTAATTCAATTCAATTTATGACTTTCCTCTAAGTTCATTCTATTTTATAAACAATCCCATGTCTCTATTGGCCTCTGTTTTGAAACACAAATCATTTGGCTTTAAGGCAATCATCACATATTCAAATTTGGTCAATATACTCATTACTTTCAAGCTGCAATTTGTCAAAAGAAAATTTTTCTGCCATTTCGATCAATAATTTACAAATGCATTTGTTATAATAAAACTTTTCAATTTAAATACAGTTTTTAAATTCATTGCATAAATGTATTGAAATATAAATATACAATAATTAATTAATTAATTAATTAAAAAGATTAAAATTTAATTGTTTAGTCCAGAGAATCCCAGGAGTTGATCACAATCATTCCTTATATAAAAAAACACTGACAGAGATTCATGCAACACTTGTTGAAGTTCATGTGATTCTGTTGTAGATCAATGTATGGTGTCTCGATGATCGTCCCATTTTTATTTTATGTGCATAGCCACACTATACGCTGCTGTTACCCAGAACATCCAGGAGCTTGATGAAAATGAAGAGCAGACAAAATAGCAGACCTCCCAAAACAGTGGCAAGTCACAATTGATGAGCAACGGGACTACACAGAAGAATTATAGAGTTTGAAGTTCACCCATTTCTGTTCTAATATAATGAAATATTGTGCAATATTTTTTGACTCCCCTCTGCATACAGAAAGAAAATCAACTGTTAAACTACTAGAAACTAACAGTACCTAGTATAAACTTTAAATAATTCTATTGGTAGAAACATATTGAAAGGATGAATACTCAAACCAAGATTATTACTCTTTATAAATACAGAAAGAAAAAGGATGAAGACAGCTTAGAACTGAATAAATAGTATTTCTGCAATTGTGAATATTTTTCACATTTTCTAACAGTTTCGCAGCTTAGCTACAAGTAGAAAAGAGTGGCGAATATATAATTCATGAAAGACTTCAACATTTTTATGGATCAATCTCGGAAAGACAATTTTTCAAACTAATATAAAATTTTAATGATAATTAATTATTAAATTCTGACGTGGATATACAACACGGATTTAAATTAAATTAATATTAAAATTATTAAATTTTGATGTAAATATATAAAAATTACAGTACTCATTAAATATTAAATAGAACTCCCAATTCACTTTCCAAATATATCATTAAATATATCATTCCTCTACCATTTTAAATTATTCTTTCTAAATTTTAGATGCATTTTTATTTTATTTTAACTCTTATCTAGTTTTGAAAATTCCACAAAAATCAGTCAAACGTTAACGCAACATTTATTAAATTAAACATTAATTCAACGCTGAAACTAACATTTTACTGAGTAGTGTTTACCATTTGCAAGAGTTAATACTACTTCATAAGATATTTTCAGATATCAAATATTAGTAATAATGGATGGCTTGTTTGTTCACTGAGTTCTATAAAAAAGATGTAAAAATCTAGAATTTCTTAGAAAACATTGATGGAAAAAAAAACTTTAAATATTAAATGACAATTTGCTGAACATGCTACAGATATAAGGAAATTTATCATATTTAATAAATTCTACATGAATGAACAATTTAAGAAATGATTTAAATCATAAAATAAAACTTCAATAATTTAAAAAACTCATTAAATGGAGTTATAAAAGCTTAAAACTGATATAAATTCTATAAAAAAATGAGATTTATTGATCAGAAAATCATGTGATTTATATCAAACAAGTAAAATATTGGAAAAATAAATATATATATTTCCAATATTGGATTATTCCATATATTATTCCAATATTTCAAATATATTTTTTCCAATTCAATTTAATTCAAAACTAGTAGAGAGTTGCATAACTTTCTTAGAAAGTTAAAATTGTGTGGGGTACCATATGTTACAAGATTTAAAAAAATTTTTTATATTCTTTTTGCAATTTAATAATAATAAATCTTAATTTTGAAGTTAGAGACAAGTTTTATAAAAAAAACTGTAAATGCTAATAATGAGTAAAATGTTCATTAAGTTCAGTGCAACTCTGGACATGACACACGACCTCCTCAACCTTTAACCACCAAAATTTAATAATCAATTGAAACAAAAACTAATACTGTACTAAAAATCAACTGAATGTTACAATTGAAGTGTATTTGTACAATACCTATACAAATACTGTACATTTTAACAACTTATTTAGTGAACGAGCGAACGGCACTTGCGTATTATTTATATTTTGACGTAAATAACACACAAGTACCGTTTTCATTACTATAGCTAGAGACTAACTTTGTACACAGGTTTTTAAACTTGTACAAATGTATCCAATGAATTAATTTTTACACCTAGAATAAAACATTATAAGGTTTTATTATTTTAAAATCAGACTGTTTAAATCATAATCACACTATAATTTTTTTAAATTATATGCTAGCTTTTACAATTTTATTTTTAAAAATATTCTACGTAAAACTTATAACTGTAAATTAATTTGTAGCATTTATCATTTTAATAATTTCAATTGTGTAATCAAAAAAAAAAAAAAAAAGGAATTAATTTCTAACTAATTTTCTTACAGTTTTCTAATATTTTATAAAAATTAGAAACTTATTAAGAAACAAATGTAATAAATTGATACTTTTTGCAATTAATTACAAAATTTATTAATGAATAATAAATAAAAACAACTGCTTCTTTTCTTTTTATCAAAGTCATATAACAACAAGGATAAAGTACTTTTATATAATAAAACATCTTATTTTAAATATTAATAATATAGCAGCTAATAAGATTAGTAAACAATTTCTATAATTTAAACCATTTTGCTCATTTATGATTTGATTTTTTATGTTGTATACAATCTTTTAAATAGGTTACCTGGGTGCAAAAATAATTACACGACATTCAGACTACTACCAACCAATCGATCTTGCTCACTCAAATACTAGTTCAAATATAGTAACGGACCAATTAACTGGCTTCCAAAGATACAGAATTACCAGAAAAACTGACTAGTTTTGAATTTGGCAGGTTATATCCCAGTTGTAATTCACGACTCGGCTGCTTTGTTTTGATTTTGTCGTGGCATACATGTTGCACGATGCTACTTCTGTTACGTTGTTTTCTTTGTTTAATTTTCATTCTAAATATTATACTACACAGAGTATTCTATATTTTAAGAGGATTAATAATAATCAAACAGGCCATGCATTAATTTTTATCAGTTAAATACAATTTTGTTCTTAATTTTATATTTTAATTAAGTATACATTTAGCCCACATCCAGAAAATCCAAAAATTCAGATCACTTCCAGTCTCAAGCTTGTCAGATATTTGGTCTGATACTGTATAGTAAAATTGAAACAATAGTTATTGTTTTAATAAGTAAAATTGAAACAAGGAAGTATTCAGTTTTACTTATCTGTTTTTCTATAATTATGTTATGCATTACAGCTAATACCACATTTTATGGCTGAAATTTAACAGAAAGTTAAAGAGAACAATGAACATGAAGAACTAATAAAGTCAATTGTTATTTTGGGTTATCAAGACCATAACAGACAATTGGTTAAGATAATTATTGATATTAAGATCTATAGATATTCATTAGAAAAGAGACAAATAGAGTGGCAAGTGTCAATTCAAATTCAGCATTAAAATATTAAACTATACTGGTGGAAGTTACTTCTAGGACATTTAATCAGTATTTTCTTGTATTTATATCAAAGCATTATTACACACACAGGAAGCATTGCCATACTATTAGATCTAGTCAATTAATTCGCCATCAGTATGCCACAATGATATTTGACAGCCAGAAAGCCAAGCAGTTAAGGTTTCATCCTACCACTCCCGAGGACCCGGGATCAATTCAAAAAACCCCAAGAATTTTTCAGAGGGTGGTCCATCCGGATACGTCGAGGCCCCGTCCCTCACCGCTCGATTGCAGGCCTGGCCGAACCTATTACAAATTTGCTAAAAAGACCCTCTTAACTCTTACAGCTGCGGTCCTGAAAGATGATATATGATAAGCTTAATTAAATTATATGACACATCTAATCCACAATATACTTATAAACATGTATATATACAATATATTACATACAATATCTGCATAAACACTTTTTTTGTTTTGTAAATACTGTTTAAATAACTGTAAACAGCATTTAAATATATAAACATTCAAAAATTTAATGAAAGTTCAGTATCAAATGATCAATCTATTGGCACTTTTGGGTAGAAGTTACTTTTAAATCGATATATATATATTTACATATGTAAAATTTACCTAAAAGTAACCCCTACTAATCATATGGCATGGATATTTATCTAAAGGCCCTTTCCCTTAGTTTAGTATACAATCTTAAAGTAATGAAAATATAAATATCAAATCTATTTTATTATTTCATATTCGAAAACATTAAATAAATCGTTCTATATTTAATTTTTGATTAAATAAAGCATGCAGAGTACATAGACCACCATACCTTGTTTTAACGATTTCTTCTGATTGTGTTCATACAACTGACGTTGCCAACTCTACAAAATGCATTTACAGATTTAAAAATAAAACTAAATTTGTTTATTATGAATACATTAATATGTAAAAAAAATGACATTAAAAAATATAAAAATTATTTAATTCATTAAAATGTATTTTTACAATAACTTTTCTGTTTAGAATTCTATGTAATCGATTTTAATGTTCAAATATGGCGACGTGAAAGCGTGCCGTTCTTCCATCAAATTAAGTCATGCAAATTGCGTCGGAGCAGACGACGAATGCTTAGTCTGAGTTTTAAATAAAAGGGTTTCATTAAGATTTAAATTAGAGATGAAATTCAGCCGGTCACGCAACCAGTTCCTAAAATTTTCTCATTTCGGGAGTTCGCTAGTGGCCGAAGGGGTAAAACCGCTAAATACTGAAGTTGGTCGCGGGTTCTTGTCTGACCAACGGACTGACCGCGTGGCATTTTCACGGTTTCATATGTCTAGTACCTAAACAAGGTCCAATTTCTTGTAGCAAGCCTTGCCGTGAGGCATTCCTTCTTGAAAAATCGCTATCGTGTTGAATAACCTTATTTTATCAAACCGAAAAACAATCTTATCCAATTACTACTTGAAACATTTTTAGTTTACTTGTGTAGTCGAGTAAAAAAATGTAAATTGATTAAAAAGGTTAACATTATGAAAGAAATTTTATTGATGGCTAATCGCAATGTAAAAAAAAAATGATAGTGTTGATCTGAATAACAATAAGTTATGGACAAGTAGTGTATGGCCAGTCCCCCTTTTTAAACTCTTCTTCCTGTGGATATTAAGACGGCTTTTATTCTACCTATCAGGGTTTGGCCAGGCCCAAATGGGCTGTCGGTGGTGAAGGACTGAGTCCAATATATGTGGGATGGACCACCCGCAAAAAATTTCTGGAGATGTTTATCCGTTTCATACGTTTCCGGGTCTCCCATAGAGATAAGCGAAAGTGATAATACTTTGAATACTATCGATAGGAAAAATATTGATAGTTACAAGAGTCCCCATAGAATTCGATGATAGATAATACTATCGATAGTATCTCATTATTTTCCTCGGTTTATTATTAACATTTTTTTTTTTGCTTTATTTTAAGTAAATAATATCGAGAGAATTAAATAATTAAAACAGCGCGTAATGTTTAAGATGTAAATACCGAAAAAATAATTATCGTATAAAACAGAATAATAGTCTTTTGTATGAAAGTTGGCAACACTATCATTTTTTTCAAAGCACGTGACCTTGCCTTCTCACGTGACTCGCCGAGGACTAAGCAATTTTTAGTTGTTGGTATGTAGTTTTTTTTTTTTTAATTTTTCTTTGAAATTTTGCTGAAAATCGTCAGGTCTAGTCAATATATTAAGTAATATATTAACTGGACCTCAAGTTTTTGTTTAATTTATCTACAATCTACAAAGATTGTAGATAAATTAAATAGAATTAGTCCAAAGTCTTTGTAACAGGACCTTTAAAACTAGGTACTGTACTTATTGGTAATTACAGTAAAACCTCGATTTAACGAACTATGAACTAATCCGGGCGATGGAGTATCCGCTATATAATAAAGTAAGTTTTTTGAACGGTTATGTTAAATATCCAGCAACGATTTGTATAACTTTCCTGGTCAAACGTTAAAATTGTGTGTGGCGCCATCTGATTACGAGATTTTATTTAAAAAACTTTTTTATTATTATAAAATGGCAAAAGCTCAATTTCGAGGGTAGATCAGAGTTTTATTAAAAAAAAAAAAAAATTGCAAATGCTAACAACGAGTAAAATCTTTACAAGTCGACCCCATTCGAGATACGACACGTCACCTCCCTCCATCTCCCCCACTCCCTCGACCTTCAACCATCAAAATACAATAACACCAACGCTCCTAATACACAAACATCCCTGCAAAATTCCAGAAATTTTCGACAAAAGGTACAGGAGTTATTAAGCTTCAAAGCTGGTGAAAAAATCGTACCCCATCCATACATAAAAAGCCCAAAGTTTTTTTTTTTTTTGAATTTCTCCACGTTTCGATGCCCCCGAGTCCAAAAACGTTAAAGTAAAAATTGACAGATTTTTTTTTGTTTAAAGAACTTTTTATATGGGTCATTCCCAAAAAATTTCACCTGTTTTGGATATATCTATGGAATATGCTACTTAAAAAAAGTTAAGAAAAACGCCGCAATTTAAAAAAAACGAGAATAAACGCCCGCGAGTAATGTAAATAATTACGGAAATTACTAAGCATTTTCGTAAATCGTTACTGCACAAAAAAATGATTACTTTAGCATGTGGTTGCTTTCTGCACATGCACACGTTGCATAGCGAATGCTCGAGCTGCTGCTTATCAAGTCTTTCGGGGAGTAAACCCGACAGGGTTGCTAGCCATTTTTGAACCCGAGCATCTTAAAGTTATCAAGGTATTCTTGGAGGCTGGAAAAATGCAACTTGATTTTCTGGAGCATCGCAACCACGTTATGTGGGATATATGCCCCGAGATCTTGCTGCCCATTCCGTGGGACGAATATCTTCACTGTCAAGATAGTCATTGACGAGTGAAGCCTTATGTAGTACGTGGCATTGTCGTCCATGAAAATAAAATATGCATCCACGGCACCTCGTAGAAGTTTCACGTAATTTAACATTAATGCAAAAACTTGCATCCATTAAGCTTAATTAATACCAGTCCAGATTGCATCGAGTTCCGCGCTCTCTCCAACTAATTAGACCTCCTATTTATAGACTGGGCGATTATGCTTATTTTTGTACACGAATGTGTATTGATATTACACTACTGTACTGTGTTTTCTTATCGAAGTTTTAGTTCGTGTGATCATCGTTAGCAGTCCAAGTATTCATACTGAACATATAAAACGCTAAATACACGAGCATTTATTAACGGCTGCAATTTTTAATTTATTTAATTTAAAATACAGGCCTTGACTTTTTAAATGCATATGTGTTCAACTGAAGAAAAAATCCAGCAACGAGTTGCGTGACTTTCTTGGCAAAAAGTTAAAATTGTATGGCGCCATCTGTTACGAGATTTTATTAAAAAAACTTTTTATATTATTAATTATTATAAAATGGCAGAAAGATTTCGAAGATAGAGATGTTTTATATAAAAAAAAAAAAACTGCAAATGCTAATATCGAATAAAATGTTCATTAAGTCTGACCCCACTCGAGATTCGACATGTGACTCCCTCTATCTCCCTACCCCCTCGACCTTTAACCACTAAAATTTAATAGCATGGTATGGGGTTTGTGTATTATGAGCACAAACCCCATACCAAATTTCAGAATTTTCGACAAAAGGCACATGAGTTATTGAACTTCAAAGTGAGCGAACAAAATCTTTCCCCCTCCCTCCACACACACAATGCCAAGCTACAATTTCTAATCATATTTTTTATTCATTTAATTTAAAATATATGTTCTCCACCCCAAATTAATAGTGTCTTGTCTCTGTACCTCATACTTTTCCTGTTAGCAATAGAATCGTGCTGGTCATCTAACTTATTTTGGGGGAAATTTTGAATTGAAATAATATGACATTCATGATCTTCACATGACTAGAAAAAGGGGTTCACGGATCAAAAGAAAGATTAAGAAATCATCCTACCTTAGGTAGATGGATTAGCGCATTTTTTTTGAGCCATCGATCTGCCATGTTTAATCCAATTTGTTACTATTTTCTTCACTGAATATTAGGTATTATATAAGAAAACACCTTTGCACTGTTGTCTAATAAAATACACAAATTAACAGGTATTTTGAATTTGTTTACTTATTATTATTTTATTTTATTTATTTATTTATTTTACTCTCCACCTTGTGGGTACTAAGAGAGCATTTTTTGAAGCCGTAGTGGATCCAGTCAGATCCACGATGGGGATGCTGTGGCATGCTGATCGATTAATTTATCACTAACCTGTTATTTTCTTTTAAATTGCGATATTCTGAACAAGATAAGATCACGTATAAAACAAAAAATGAGCGCTATCTTCTCTGATTGGTTGGATTGAGAAAATGAATAAAAATGTAACCAATCACAGTCTTTCTTCATTGTGTCAATCGCATTTATCGGAGGTGTTGATAGGCTTGATTACTAACGATGAAATTACGTGTTTATTATTTGAATTTCTGACCAATGAACGAAACAAGATCACGTTTACTACGAAACATCCCACTTTTTTCAATAAAACGTAACCAAAAAATTTTAAAATTTAAATAATTTGTAAAAAAGAAAAAAAATAGCAAATAAAATATTATGAAGATTCAGAAAACTGATTTTAAGTCATTTTATAGTTAATTTACACATAATATTCACTAGAATTAAAAAAGAAAATTTAAGAATTATTATAACTTTTTTTTTTTTTATATTCCAGAGAGAAAGCCTTATCTCTACAACTTTTTAAAAAATTGATTTAATTAATTAATTCCAAATATTTATAACTTAGAAATTATATAGTGTATTTTTATAATGATAATATCTTAATATAATTTTTTAAAATTTATAATTCTACTCATTTAATTAGAAGTTTAACAGATTAAAAATTGTAGTCTGTTATGTACTTAGTGTAGGATATAAAAGTTTATTCTATAGAGTTATAGAATAAATTTAAATGAATTTTTTTTTAATATTTAAATTTTTAAAAAAGTGATCTTATATGATATATATTAGAAGAGAAAGTAAATTAAATTACAAACTGTGTAGAATATATCAGAGAATATTCATATCAACGGGATACAGTTTGACAGCTTTTGGGAGTTTGTTGATGATGGATGATGTTGCAGATATCGTCATCATAAAAGAACATAAAATAGAACCTCATTTTCTTGATTATCTTAGTGTCAAATCCTATTTACAATTTACAATCTTTACATTTATTTATGGAAGTTTTCAATGTAAAAAAATTCATTTTTAAAAAGTGTATAATATTCTAATATTTGTTTTATTTTTATTATTATT